AGGCGTTGGCCGAGGCCGGCGCCAGGTTGGAGTAGACGCGAGGAGACGGAAAGTGCGTCGCCGTCGCCGTTGCCGGGTAGCCCGTGTCGGCCGAATAAGCCCAGATCGGGGCTGTCGACGTGCGGTTGTTGTACACCGTCGGCACGGTTGACTCCGACGCCGTGGCGACGGCGGCGACTGTCGCAAGCTCGCAGTCGTCTGACACAGGCACGCCCATTGTTGTCGCCATGGCAATCGCCGTTGCCATCGAGGCGTCGAGGTGAGAGGGCAGGAGGCCGTCCGTGTCGGCGGCGTCGGCTGGGCCGCCTCGACCTCTCGACGCGGCGGCGTCGTCAGGGCGGAGTCGGCGTCGGCTGGCGCGGCGTCGCAGACGTTTTGCGGGACTCGAACTGACCGGCGAGTAGACGTCGTGGTCGTCAGGGCCGTGGAGATGTCCCGCGTGACGAGAGAAGAAGACGTCCGTGCTCAACGGCGAGTCGGCATTTGTCTGTGTGTGGGTGGGTCGGGCAAACGAGGCTTGGTGCAGCGAGGGGGGCGGGGGGGGCGGAGGGGGCTGGAACGGGAGCGAAGGCGTCTGTGCGAGTGGCCTCACCGCGGCCGACGTGTACGTGTGTGTCGTCTGCTCGGGCGTCAGCTGGTGCCGCAGTTGGTGCTGCGCGTGTTGTTGGTGCTGCGGTTGCGGTTGCGGTTGCGGCTGTTGGACGAGCAGGCAGTGGCGCAATGCCAACTGTTGCCGGCAGGAGATGTCGTGCTCGGAGAAGGCGAGCGAGCCAATCTGTTGCCCCGGCAACAGGAAGGCCTGCTCTCCGGCCGACTGCCAAGGCGGCACCAACTCGGCCCGTCTCTCCGCCTCCCCCTCCCTGCTCATCCGACACGAGGCTGGTCGTCTGGCCGCCTCGGCACTCAAGCCCGAGCTCGTCCTCACCGCCGCGTTCATGCTCCGACAGACCAACGCCCCCCCTCTGCCGTCTGCACACATTCCACTCTTCTCTTCTTCTTCTTCTTCCTCGTCTTCCTCTTCCTCTTCTTCTCCCTCCTTCTCTTGCTGCTCTTCCATCTCCACCTCTTCTTCGTCATCCTCGTCCTCCTCTCTCTCCTCCCC